GGGGGGGCAGCATATGGGCGGGCAGGTGGGCGTGCGGGCGGGCGTGCGAGGTAGAAGACGTACCTTTCCCGGTACAGCAGAGCTTCCGCGAAGTCGAGAAGAGCGCCGGCGAGGAGGCATGGTGAGGGACTGACCGGAAAGTCTCGAGTCGGTAATAGTGGTGCAACTAAGGCGATGGGGCCAAGTTCCAACAGCACTCGCGACTCGCGAACAGAGAGCAAGGTTGTGGGTGGTGAGGGCGGTGGAGTTCTCCGGCTTTCTCCAGTTTTATTTGTTGACTTTTCGATGTTTACGGAGTACGCCCGTCGCACATGGGCGTCTTGGCGCGGATCGCGCTAATTTCGGAAACGTGACTTGGCAGGGCTAGAGCCCACGAGGCTGAGTTTGCCGCCCCCAGCTCCGCTCCGTACCGTACGGAGCAAAGCAAGCTTAAGCCAACTCCATCCCTCTGCAGTCGGAGGTTTTTTTTTTTTTTTTTTTTTTTTTCCTTTTTGTTTTCCCCCTTCGCTTCTTGATTGTTTCCTGGAAGCCGGTGCACCCAGTGGTCGCAGGTCCCAGATGAGGTCTGGATTCCAAGTACCAGGCCCGCGACGTTCGTGACTTTCGGTCATGTACGTCCTGCTCGTATATGTAGATTGGATAGCCGTCGATACCCGTCGTGCGGTCGAGGGTGACCTTTCACGGCCCACGGGGTTCGGGATTCTCCCATGCCCGTGAGCTGATGTTTAGCTGTTCAGAAGCGGTCGCCTCTGTTTCTGGTGCGGGGGAATCCCTCTGTACAGAGTATATGCTTGCGAGAAGTTAGGGAAGTTAGGGGTCATGCATTCCGGAGCGGAAAATAGAAATTGGTGCAGCCAAGAAGCTGAACTTGTTTCTGGTCGCGAATCATGCTTAGTACCGGTACCGTACTTGTACCTTTGTCTGTATCTATATTCGTAGTACAAGTTTACACATGGTAGTAGTATATACTGTATATGATTTACCAGTCGAGTATGGGCATAATATAGTAGTAGGTACCTCCGCTGTGACTACTTACTTGTAGGTCTACCGAGTACGGAGCTACCTACGTACCCCACCACACCACACCACACCACACCACACCACCCATCCATCAGGGGCTCAAGTGCCGCGGAGACGTGTTTTCTCGATCGTCAGTGGCCAGACGGTTCGTCGTTGCTATTGGACGGCGCGGACAGCTGGAGAGTGAGGTCGCATTCCGCGAACAGTGCGGGGTTTGGGGGGGGGGGGGGGGGCTGGGGAGCTGGGGGGGCTGGGGTGCTGGGCTGGGGGGTCAGACCGGGGGATTTCAGTGGCGGCAATTTTCTCTTCCAGTCGTTCCAGGACCAGTAGCCACACCCACACCCACACCCACACCCACACCCACACCCACACCCATACCCATACCCATACCCTTACCCTTACCCTAACCCATACCCACACCGGCACCGGCCAGCTGACAGGCAAGACACACGACAGGGCTGAGATTGACCTTGCTGGGTTGGCCGTACCGTGGCCTTGGCCTCTGCTTGTATCATGATCGCTGACCAGGTTCTGCTGGAGAAGAGGAGTTGGGAGTTACTACTAGGAGTTGGGAGTTGGGAGTTGGGAGTTGGGAGTCGGGAGTCGGAAGTCGGGAGTCGGGAGTCGGGAGTCGGGACTCGGACTCGGGAGTCGGACTCGGGAGTCGGACTCGAGAGTTGAGAGTTGAGAGACGTGATGATGGTGATGGGCATCGATCGAATGGATGGAATCGCATTTCGCATTTCGCATTTCGCCGGGGGACGAGCACGAAAGGCCGATGCAGAAAAGGAGATATGGCCACATACTACTCTACGTACGAAGTAAGTACCGGTACTCTCTCTACCTCCCTACCCACCTCCCTTACCTACCGGTACCTCCCTACCTACCTCCCTCCCTCCCTCCCTACCTCCCTACCTCCCTACCTCCCTACCTCCCTACCTACCTAACCTATCTACCTACAGCAGTGGTGGCGTGGTGGCGACGGAGTAGGGCAGCAAAAAAGGTTCTTTCTTGGTACACAACTGCAGTAGGTACCGTAACTGATCAAAAAGTCCGTCCGCACAAGCGAGTCGACCACCCATAACCTAGTCCGTCCTGTCTGTAGTCGAGAGGTAACCCGGGTAGGTCACCCAGGTAGGTAAGCCAGGTACTACTAGTACCTAGGTACCTGCCTAGGTACAAGGCAAAACTTAACCCCTCCTTCGCCTCCCCGCCTGTCGCTCCTCCTGGGCCGGGACCCACCCCGTGGAAGCCATCGAAGCCATCGAAGCCATCGAAGCCGTCGAAGCCATAGAAGCCATGGAAGCCATGGAGCGAACCTCAACCTCTGCACCTCCTGTGGGGAAGGTCACCCTTACCCGTCTGCTCCTCTAGTCTTCTAGACCTCTCTAGTCATGCCAATCTACGGACTCTTCTAGTCTGCCTCTTATCCTTTCTGGGCCTGGCGTCCGCGTGAACCTTTTTTCTCTGCTGCACCGTTGACGCCTTTCCAGACGGGTCTCGACTCCATTCAAATATCTCTCTCACCTCCGTACTCGGTACTTACTCTGCTCACCCCCCTTTCCCCCCCCCCCCCTCCCCTCCCTCCC